TTCCACATGTCAGGGCTTGGGCTGATTGCTAGGTTTTTTTGTTTTAAACCACCATATATAATTATGCTTTCATGCCTTTCCCTTAACAGAGGATCAAATGGAGAAAAGTAATGGGGAAACTGGAGACAAACACAGGACACGTGGCAAATGGGCATGCTACATTCAAAAGCCCTGTACTAAAGCAGTCATTAAAAGCCATTGGTAGTGGCAATGAATGGTTTTTCAAGTTTGATTTACCTTTTTAGTGCACTTATGTTTGGTTTTCCTATGCTGGACTTCACCAGATGGAATACACAGGAATCAGATCAACTACATCTGTGGCAAAAGGTGATGGAAAAGCTCAATATCTTCAGCCAAAACAAGATCAGGAGCTGATTGTGGAACAAACCATCAACAGCTCATATGAAAGTTCAACTTGAAGTTGAAGACAATTAAAACAAGTCCATGAGAACCAAAATATATTAATATATCCCTTGAATATATCCCGCCTGAATTTAGAGACCATCTAAAGAATAGATTTCATGCATTGAGCACCAATTACCAAAAACCAGAAGAATTGTGGGATGACATTAAGGGCATCATCCATGAAGAAAGGTCATTAAAAATATGAGAAAGAAACAACCAAAATAGATGTCAGAAGAGACTCTGAAACTTGCCATTGAGCGAAGAGCAGCTAAAGCAAATGGAAGAAATGACAAGATAAAAGAACTGAACGGAAGATTTCAAAGAGCAGCTTGAGAAGACAAAGCCAATTACTATAACAAAATGTGCAAAGACCCCAAAAGGGAAGAACATGCTCGGCATTTCTCAAGCTAAAAGAACTGAAGAAAAAATGTAAGCCTTGAGTTGCAATACTGAAAGATTCTATGGGCAAAATAATGAATGATACAGGAAGCCATCAAAGTAAGATGGAAGGAATACACAGAGTCACTGTACCAAAAAGAACTGGTCAGTCTTCATCCATTTCAGGAGGTGGCATATGTTCAAGAACCAATGGCATTGAAGGAAGAAGTCGAAGCTGCACTGAAAGAAATGGTGAAGAACAAGGCTCCAGGAATTGATGAAATACCCATTGAGATGTTTCAATAAATGGATGCCCCACTGAAGGCACTCACTCAGCTATGCCAAGAGATTTGGAAGACAGCTACTTGGCCAACTGACTAGAAGAGATCCATTTTTGTACCCATTCCAAAGAAAGGTGA